AACGTTTCGGTTTTGTAATTCTCTACTACTATTTTTTTTGTATGTTGGCATTTGTCAGTCATTTAGATCGCAAAGAACGTCACATATATACATAGGGGAAACGTTAAAAGAAGCATGTAAGTTCTAAGATGAAAACCACAGGATGTTCAAAGAAGAAAAGAAAAAAGAGGCAAAAAAAGGAAAACCTAAGAAGTTCAGCTATGGGGACTTAATAAATTCATGGAACATAAACCTAAATGTTTGGCCATGATTTATTTTGGAAAAACGAAACACACTAAAATACATAAAACTAAGTTCATGATGCATGTTTTTTTAACGAGAAGCTCGACGTTTTGAAAAAGGGAGTGCACAAAAGTTTGAGCAAAAAGGTTCCATGCAGATTCCGACGAGGAACAAACAGACAGGTTGCGGGGGGGAATCGGGAAAATAAGTTCATAGAATTAAAAACATTAGGTCAGTTCAGGTATTGAATCCATAGAAGTTCCCAAAAAGAAATGGTACAGAAATAAAGTAAAACAAATAAACTCGCAGCACGAAACTATTGAGGAAGTATGTAATATTAGTGAAATTCAAATTCTGTTAAAAATATTGTAAGTTCACATGTTAAAGCCATGGATGTTCAAAGGAACGAAATAAACCAAAATAAAAGTTTAAGAAACGTGACCCGTTCCTACAAAGTTAAATCAAGAAGTTCAAATGAAAATAGCATTGTAGTTCGATGTTTGTTAAAAACACGGATTTTCCAGCTTCTAAAAATAAAACAGAGAGGTTCAAATTAAAACAACAAAGAAGTTCGATGCTTACAAAAAAAATGATTTTTCCCATTTCTAACAAAAAGGCAAAAGGTTCAAATTAAAATAATAGAGAAATTTGATGTTTATAAAGAATCGGATTTCTCCCTTTCTGAACATTTAACAAAGAAACTATATAAAAAAAGAGCAGTTCCATTGTTTATAGAAAAAATTGATTTTTCATTTCTAAAATAAAAAAATATTTTTAAATTGTAGAAAATAAACAAAATGGACCGATTTTTTGAAATAATGGATTTTTCTTTCTAAATAAAAAATATTGAAGTTTAAATTAAAATAATATAGCACTTTACATTTACAAAAAAACTGTGTTTTTCCTGTTTCTAAAAATAAATCCAGGAATTTTTTAAAAGAACAGAGAAGTTCAAGTTTATTAAAAAATAATTTTCCTCTTTCTATAAATTAAACGAAGAGGTGTAAATTAAAATAACAGAGCAATTTTATTTTTATATAAAAATTCATATTTTTCTGTTTCTGTAAGATATAAACCAAAAAGTTTAAATTAACATAACCGAGTAGTTCAATGTTTACATAAGAACCGCTTTTGCCGTTTCTAAAAAAGAAAACATATAAATTAGCATTAAAATAAAAGAGCATTTTGATATTAAAATGATATATTTCTAAATATAAAACGTAGAAGTTCAAATTGAAGTAGTAGAGAAGTTTAATGTTTTTAAGGGAAATTAGATTTTCCTCTTTCAAAAAATAAATCAAGAAGTCCCCATTAATAAAACAGAGTAGTTTGATATCTATGAAAAATCGGATTTACATGTTAAAAGCTCCAAACTCAATGTTGTTTTGGAGTTTTTAAGACTATTCATAAACCATGATGAATTTGAAAATAATAAAGTCTACACGGACAGTTGTTTCTAGTCATAAGTTTTCCAAAAGGAAATGATATGTCCTATTCTGATAAAAAGTTCAATTATTTAGTTTATACCATTCGAAATGAGTTTTATCATATTAAAAATGTATTAAAACTTTGCGAATTTGAAAAAATATTGAAAATGAAAAAGTTGTATATTTTCAACAACTTTCCCACATGCTTCTATCGCTCAGTTCGCTGAAGAGATGAGGTGTTAGGGCAAAAAAATTGGACGTAAAACATAGTGAAGTTCAAAGAGAAGCATGCTTGAAGTTCAAAGAGAAGCACGCTCGAAGTCCAACATAGTGATGTTCAGTCTGTATATTCCTCCAAGTGCATAGGAAGATCGAGAATCAGCAAGCCCATGATAAAATCCTATGTGTTCTTGTAGACCACTTGTAGTAACTTCATAGTTAAACATGATTCATCCCACTGGCGGAGCTAGGAAGAAAGTCTAGGGGGGCAAATGGTAAAACTGGCAGACCTGAGGGGGCCAAATACTAAATTTATACTCATCTAAACCTAATTCCTTCATACTTTTTGCTTAGGCTGGGGGGCCACAGCACCCCCAGAAGCACACATAGCTCTGCCACTGATTCATCCTATTTGGATTATTTACTTCATTTGGATCCTATGTTTTTGAATTTGCATTCTTAAATTTACACACAATGAATTTGAAATGTGTTCTTCGAAAATATCAAGGTGTGAATCAATATGTCGTGCAGATGTAGTCAAACTGGGGTTATGTGTGAAAAAAGATGGGAGAATCAACAAAGAAAAAAATATGGGAGATAAGTTTAGGGAAAGGAAAAGGTGCACACTAATTTAACTTCTTAATTTTTGAGGAATTATGTTTAGGGAGATGGTATATATAGGGAGTTAAGTTTTTCAAGAAGGGCTAGAGATGCTCTTAGTTGTCTACTTTCTTTTACATTACTTTTTTATTGCTCCCTCCTTCAAAATTTCGAATGTGTAATTTGAATGCCAAAACTCATGCTTAGACTAAAATTATTTTCTGTTAGAACATTGTGATAATAATCACAAAACCACAACCATTGCTCGACCTCACAATAATATCATCATCATGGTAGCATTTCCCTTGGTCTATGTGAAGTAAACAACTCATATATTGGTCTATGTGAAATTGGTATTTTTTATTAACTCAAAATATAGCATGAAGTGGATAGAAAGCATTATGAGCAACATATGGCCTCTGCATAACTAAGATTCACATTGCCAAACACTAATAAACTGACATATGAAAAAAGGCAACATATCGGCAGCAATACAGTCATATAGGACCGACACGTTGCCTCCATTGACGGAGGTGGTGGACCGGTCCAGAGGTTATGCTGCCACCCATGTTGGGTTAAAACCTCCATGACCATCCGCTCCAACCACATACACATCACCTTGAACAGCGGTTGGTACTTCGTTCGGTGTGCGTAGACCACGTACGAAGCAAGTGCGTACAAGGGGAGGTATTTCCCCCCTCAAAACCCAAATCATTTCTACATAGCCAAAGTACACATAATAAGTAACTAATTCACTCCCACCGTTATTAGAGTTCGGAACCTATTTGGAATACCTCACAACCAATGACCAAATATATTGGAAATACTTGTGGATGGATACAAATTGGACACTATTTGGATGACTGATCATTTAGAACTTGCAAAGTTGCATTGAAAAATGAGGTGTTTGATTCTCTCGTCATGAGTACACAAGCTACACTTCTTGCTTCGTTGCCAATAGTGATGGGCAACATGTCTTTGGTTAGCACAACTTTGAAGATACCACAAAAGGATTTAAAATTTTAGTGGAATCTTCGACATCCATTTTATCTTGTTATCATCCACTGGGATCTCTAAATGCGTGAACACACTCTACATAGAGTATACTGTGATGGACCTAGATGTAGTGAGGTTGCGGTGAAACATGTCCAATCATTGTGTCAGGTTAATCAGTTCCAGCCGGGACAGCAGATTTTGCCATGACATAAGACGAGGACAATCAAATCCTGCCTGAAAGAAATATCTTGCGGGAATGAACCGAGCACCTGTGCAAAAGTTTCATTCTTATTGCAAACAACGCGATAAAAAGCTAGATATTGTTCTCGGAGGCTGCCATTGACTAGTCGATCCGTCTTTTATCATGAAGGATTCAAAGCGGATAAGATGTTTCTTTGCTGCTAGTAGACCATCCCAAAAATTCAAGTCAAAAGGTTTGCAATAGATTTGGGACACAACTTTTTGACCTGCATACTTATTGCGCGACAAGGTTTGCCAGAGACCATCTCACTAACTAGTTTCAATAACCATTACTAAGGAAGGCATTATTCTTGACCTGCAGGTCGTGAATGCCAAGTCCACCTTGGTCTTTCGACCTACAAAACACGCTCCATTTGGTCCGTCTCTCTGTTTTCTTTTCACTGTTTAAATAAAATATGTTCCATTTAAAACAAAGGGAGTACCAGTCCAGTGGGCAAAGCGTCTAGGGAAGTCCCAGGAGTTAGTATGAAACAACTATACACATGACTTACAGTCCATTATGCAATGCATATCAACAACTTCTTTTCACTAAGAACAAGTGTAATAAAGATAGATAGCTTGCGTGGCATAACGATCTATCTAGTTATAGATTAAGTTGCCGCCATATTGGGAATAAAGTTACCATGCATGTGGCAGCTTTGGTACCAATATAGTGACACTTTATAAACTATAGGTGGCAACTTTATTTAACATATGGGATCTAATATCAAAGCTCACATGGAGACAGAGTTGGCTGTGAAGATGGATTGCATATCAGTTTAACGGTTTGAACGTTGAATTCTTTTGAAATCTCAAAAGTACTCTTCCCGTTTCATAATTCTTGTCGTGGTTTTATTTCACGACCATAATTATGGAACGGATCGAGTAGTATTTAAAGTGTTGATGTCATCTGAATGAATGTCTGTATATCCATTATCCATACATGCATAAATGCATTTTGTGTTTGTGCAATGGAGCTAGCGCGCGCAAACGGGTGTACTATATTAGCGTCCTTCTTCTTTCATCAAAATGGACAAAAGGGATATATCTAGAACTAAAATACATCTAGATACATCCCCTTTTATTCATTTTGATGACAAGTATTTCCGGACGGAGGGAATAGATGTTAACTTGCAGATTTTGTTGCATGCAGAACACTTCAATCACCAGCTGGGATCCGTTTATTTTCGGAGGCAATCCATACCGGAGTGTTGAGCTTGGCTGGATCCCTGAAATTATCCGTCGATCAGTCCTCAGCACTCGAAGCTGCGCTGAAGTCACAACGCAAGAGCTAAGATGCCGTCGTCACATGAAGTGACAATTGCAAAAACAATCTTCTTTAGCATAAAACGGCTATTTAAGCATGACAATGCCACCAAAATGGCCAGCGTAGAGCTGTGGGTGGTGATGACGACGATGCTATTGTTTGTCAGATTCCTTATCGATTTCTCCGGGCCAAGCTACTCAAAAAGGTCCACATACTGCGCAGTTGTAACCATGGAGCTTCTAAACTACAACATGGTGGTCTACACCCTGGGGCTCATGCAGCTCTCAGCAGCAACGGTGAACGACTACTTCCAGGTGTGGGCGGTGCTCATGGTCACTCTTCAATACAGTGTGAAGGTTGGCCGTCCGTATGGCAGGTCCAAGCGGATCCCACTGCTGGACCTGATGACCTCCTTCTGGGCAGCCAACCTCCTCCGCGTCCAGACTGTGTTCCTCCTACAGATCCCCCTCTGGTTCATCTGGTCAGCGAATGCAGCCCGCATCCTCGCATATTTCCTCTTCTCCACCAAGTCGGTGACCTGCAACGAGACGAATGTGAGGCTGGTTTGCGACTACATGTGGTACGAGCACACACTCTCTGACGCTGCGGCCACCGATGCCCACAGCATGAGCGGGTACAAATACTTGGTGTGCGGGGAAGATCAGCAGGAGATGAAGCTTGGACCTGACAAGTGCAGGCTGACGCTGGATGTGGAGCACACGAGGCTCATCACAGTGGAGAGGATATGGGGTTTTCACGAAAGCGGGTTGCTGGGTACAAACGCTGACCCTGACGACCAGCTCAAGGACGTATGCCTGTCTTATGCCCTGTACAAGCTGCTACGGCGTCGGTTCCACGACCTGCCAATACATGAGGCCCAGCAAGACAAGACAAATAAGCTCGTTTTCGAGGGCATCTTGAAGTACATGGACGATGACGACTACGAGAGGGTGTTCCGCATCACCAGGGTCGAGCTGTCCTTCCTCCACGACCTGTTCCACAGTAAGCGTGCGCAGGTGTTCTCAACTGGATTTCAACTCTATAGCCTGCTGCTCTCTCTCATCTTGGTTGCGGCTACCGGGTATATCGTATATCCTGTTCGTCAGATACCTCAGAGGATTGGCCAAGCAGACCTCAACGGAAATAGAATCACCCGCGGAGTGTTCATCACCTACATCATCGTCGGTTTTATAATTGCCAAAGAGGTTTCGGAAATCATTATGTATATGTTCTCACACTGGGCTATGGTCTGGATGATCTCCATTCACATCACGTATAAAAGATTTGGACGTTGTTGGCTAGTCGTAAAGGCCATGAGATGCATGTTCATATTGATAAGGAAAGGCAAGTGGAAGCACAAGATCGGACAGTACAACCTTCTGATTTCATCTCGTCAACAGGAGTACACATACAAGCGCAAGCTGCTTCTTGTAACTACAAGGATCGACTTGGAGACAGAGATAAAGAAGGTGATAATTGAGTCGTTTAAGGGTTTAACTTCTCTAGACCCAATACCTGAAACAATTAAGGGTCTAAATCAGATCCCAGGAAGGACGGGGGCCTATTTTTCCAAGGCCTTCGGGTCAAAAGGAGTAGACTTTCTGCAGCAGCTGAAATGGGCCATCGATCTTGAGGCTGACACCCACTGGATACTGGTCTGGCACATCGCCACCAGCCTTTGTGAGATCAATATCTCCCTTGACGTTGCCAAGGAGCTCAAGACTTTGTGGTTGAAACCAAGGCCGTTTGTCAAAAAATCAAGAGCTCCCGAAGGTGTGTGGGAGCATTACATGACTGCATCCACCTTATCCAACTACTGTGGGTACCTGCTACAGAACAAGAGCCTAGTGCCTGACAATAGCCTCGTTAACAATAGCGTCGTTAGCGAGGTTTGCAGTGAAACCAACCAAGCAACATCCGAACTCGGCATGTTCATGTCCTTGTTTGATATGCATGAGATTCTCATGAAGAAAGCAAAAGATTCAGAAGAAAATAAAGGTCACAAGGAAGATGCGCCAGCTGAGCAACCCGACACCATCGGAGACGACTCCCTGATCATTGAGCAAGTGGCTGGGCAAGAGGAGGAGGGAGAGCATTACACTGCCGACGCTCTAGTCAATGAGGATGATCCTGAGAATGGGTTCGAGGATGACCATGAAGATCAAGACACCATAATCATGATGGGGACGAGACTTGGGAAGCAGCTGATGGAGAAGTACGACAACGACAAGGTAGGGCTCTGGGTAGACTTGGCCAAGTTCTGGACGGGATTCCTCCTCCACTTGGCTGCCAACACCGCCGCAGTGAAGCACAGGAGGCATCTCGCAGGGAGCGGGGAGCTAATAACACACCTATGGGCTCTGCTATCTCATGCAGGCATTCTTGGCAGCCGCCACGGGGAGCAGATCCTAGACCCACTGGACCTCGCCGACATCCAAGCTGCCGGCACTGGGGTGACTGATCCGGATAGGTTCCCAACCTTCGTTACCTAGTCACAGTCACTTCTGTACCACTACCTCCGTCCGTGTTTTAAAGGTCTCGTTAGCCAAAACTCAAGGACCAAGGCATGATATTAATTCCTATATTTGTCAGCCAGTGACCATCAATTCGTAACTAATTCCGCTCGTCTCCCGACATAGGCTGTTTTGTTTTTGTCATTGGCTATATTGCATTGTCTGAGTTATCATCTCAATGTTTTTCTTAATTTTACACTGGCAAATCAAATGAAAAAGTGGGCATTGAAATTCCAGTTTAGGTTTCTCTGGCCACTCAAATTCAATGCCATTGCATGTCTGGCACAAGCAGCCGGGGCACCGAAATTCCATCAGGTTGCCGAGACCTCATCAAACCCCCAATACAGCTGACTAGATCCTGAGCTGTTCACGGTTCACCTCTAGATCTCGACCTATGTGTAGATTTCCGAGTTGTCGAATCCCTTTTGAAGTACGTTATCGTTGTCTCGGCGTAACAAGTAATACCTGGCTCAATCTTGTGAGAAGATTGATGGATGTTCAGTAGTCTCAACAGCCCGATCAGTTGTGCTGGAAACTAACTAAGAATGGAGAGCTTTCGGTTAAATCCATGTAGTTGGATGTTATCAACTTGAGCGCGATTCCTCGAACGAAACATGTTTCGAAAGTTAAAGTACCTTTGAAAATCAAAGTGTTTATGTGGTTCGTGCATAAACAAGTTATTTAACTAAGGATAATTTGGCAAAACGCAATTGGACAGGATCTACAAGATGTAGCTTTTGCGACCAACATGAATCAATCAAACACCTCTTTCTTGATTGTCCTCTGGCAAAACTTATGTGGCGGTCAGTTCACATAGCTTTTAACATTACTCCTCCACTACCGAAATCGCCCCCTATGCCGACGGCTAGGGCCGTCGGCATATCCCCTATTCTCATCGGGATATACCTATGCCGACGGCCCCCGTCGGCATAGGGCCGTCGGCAACATATACGTCGGCACAGATGCTACGCCGTCGACATAAATGTACGGCCCCCGTCGGCATAGGGCCGTCGGCATAGATGCTACGCCGATGGGGGCCGTACATCTATGCCGACGGCCCCGGCCGTCGGCAACGATCACGCCTAACGGCGGCCGCCGTCAAGTTTGCCAACGTCAGGTCGCCACGTGGCACCCCTATGCCGACGGCTAGGCCGTCGGCCTAGTTTCAAACTATGCCGACGGCCTAGCCGTCGGCATAATCCTTCATATAGAGCTCCCAGCAGCTGACACGTGGAACATATGCCGACGGCCTAGCCGTCGGCTTAGCTTAAAAACTACGCCGACAGCTGGGCCGTCGGCATAGGTTCCACGTGTCAGCTACTGGGAGCTCACGCCAGCCCTATGCCGACGGCATAGCCGTCGGCATAGTTTGCTTTTGATTTTTTTTCTTTTTTCTGTTTGTTTTCAAATCAGGTCAATTCAAATAACAGCACATATCAGCACATATCAACGAATGTAAGCATAAGCATCATCACAACAATAATTGCATAAGCATGATCACAATCAAGTCTCTAAATGATCATCATCACAACCAACATAAGCATAAGCATATAGAAAAGCACACAAGTCATCTAAATGATCCTCACCACACACAAGTCATCTCAAGCATCATCACCACACACAAGGCTTAAGCGCCAGGACGTCGAGCACCGCAAAGGTCGTCACCGCCAAGACCGCCGAAGCCCAGGTCGTCACTGCTAGCGGCAACGCTACCGCCAAGACCGCCTCCACCTCCACCTCCGCCTTTGTGGATCAGAGTGGTCGGGCTCCGTGTCTCCGGAGTGCTGCAAAGACCACCGCCAACGGTAGATCCACCTGTTCCCTGGATGTTGAAAAGACATATTAACGGGATATATGACTGTGTTGAAAGGCATGACATGCTTTGGGTGAATAGATTGGGGATGAACTAACCGGCGAGGGGCCAGCGTTCTGTGCCACAAACTCCTCAAAGGTCAGCAGCACTGGTTATGCTGGAGGACATTGTGCTGGCGGCAACTGAAGACTCCTGCCGGCCGCCATATCCTGAAAAGCCTGATTCATCTGGCGATCCCTCTCCACTTGGTGTTCATAAAGCCTCTCATGCCACGCCATGGTCTCCTGGCGTGTGTACTCTAGGTAGGCCTACGGTATGACATGATGGAACTCATAAAACTACTAAATGCGGAAAATGAAATGAGCAATGAACATAAGAGGGAAAATACTTACAGATTGTTGCTCCTGAAAGAGGGACTGTGCGCTGGTCACTGGCTGGCTCGTGCGCTGGCTCAGGCTCGGGTCAATCCGACGAAGCTGTGTGTAGGAGATAGTAGGAGTGATCACAGCATCGAGAACCGCCTCCCGACCGTGCTCCTTGGGCCCCATGCTCACCACCGCCCTGTCGTCAAGAGCCGCCGCAATGGGGCCAGGTGTGTCAGGATGTAACTTCAGATATGCTTCAGAGTAGGCCTTCTTCCTCCCTGCGGTCTTCTTGCCGTAGTACTTGGGCTCGCCAGGCTTGGAGTCCTTCCGCGTATGGGCGATCTCCCACGCCTGCATGTCTGAGAGCGGCCGCTTCAGTTTCTCCTCCTACACCACCAAACAGAGGTTAGTCATACATAAGAAAGTGATGGTAAATAGAAGAAGAAGAAGAATGTTTAATGGGGTTAGACATACATTAACTTCCTTGTGGAGATAGTGGTTTCGGTTCCCCTGAGCATGTACTCCCTCCTTCCCTCGAAGCATAATGGCATAATGAAAGCATAATGGCATAATGAAAGCATAATGGCATAGTTACCTTCAAGAACTCGTCCTTATCCAAGGTAATGCCCATCCTCCGCGCGTCGTCCTTGGTCATCTTCACACCAAGATAGTCGTGATGGTATGTCGAGATGGCCACATAACGCACCTCGTACTGCATCTGGCGGGCCTTCTTCTTGCATTGGCGCAGCACGATCTTGTCCGCTCTGGCCCTGTGCTCCGGAAGAACTCGATAGAATTTCTACAATCATGCATGAAACAAGAATGGAAGAAGACATGAGTTAAATCATTCATGAAACTAGAATGGACTTGTGCTTCTGAAGAGAACTCACCCAGAAAGTGGTGATCACGGCCTTGGCATGGGTCCCATGGTCCGCGTGGAGGGCCGCTTCTCAGTGCTCCCAGCTTGTGGCCAAGACCCGATGGTCCGGGTGCCTGACTGGATCCGGACAGTACAACCTCGGCCAGTGTAACTTCAGCAAGATGGTGATGAGGCCATTGGGAATACGGACCCCTTTAAAATACATCCAGTTGCTGCAAAAGAATGAACTATTAGCATGTGACAAGCAAAATAAATAACAACCGGAATGAGCATGTGACAAGCAAAATAATGAAATTATTATAAAGTGGCACTTACTCTTTCCCCGTGGGCTCAATGAGCCACTTCTGCTCCTCAGTAGCAGGAACCTGCTTTGGTAGCTTTGTGTTACCACGCAGCCATCCCTTGTTGTCAACCCCCTCCCCGCCACCACCATCATCCCCGCCACCACCATCATCCCCGCCACCATCCTCCTCCTC